ATAAAGTCAACTTAAATCCTGTTAATCTCTACTAGGAATCCATCTATCCCTTATCTTGTCTATTGTGCTGTTGTTTAGAATTTTACTTTTGTCTTAATCAATTTTCATTTTGTTAGAGCCACTGAATTATTCCTGCCTATTGAGGAAATTTTTAGAATCCTGATTCTGTCATTATACATATTTGCTATTTTTCCCTATTTTAGGTAATCCAAATATGTGAAATGGATGTTTTTGTTTTTGTTTTTCCACAGAATTCAAGTACTTGTATTTCGTCTTAATTTTTCCTAATCAATACGTAAATGTCTGGAGATTTTCCGTTTGACTAATGTAAAATCCGCACATTGTAACAAGTCTCATTCTTACCTAGACAATATTTTTAAGAATTCTGGGCTTTTCCATATATTGGAAGTATTATTATTTTACTCTGGAAAATTTCAAGTGCAGGTGTTACCATCCATCATCCTTCCTAATTTTAAAAATGAAAGAAAAGAAAATCAACTTTTCTTTGTATTTTATGAAACATATTATTTTTGAGTTGCATCGCCTCCTAGTGGCCTCATGAGCTGCCAAACACAGGTCCAGGAAACTGGATCAATTGCCCTGCTTCGGGTCGGTGGGAAAGTGTGTCGAGAACAAAGATTTGGTATTGAGTAACACTGAACTGTTTTTTCTGCCCCATAATTAAGAACAGAAGTCTTTGCTTTCTGAAGCTCTTCCAGATAAATGGCAGTAAAATCCCTTTCAGAGAGGGATGCATGCACCCCCTACCTGCCCATCCCCAGTGGCAGAAGTACATGAATGGAGCTTATCTAAAATCCATGTAGAGGGGTTCTGACACCCTCATGACTCCTCCCGCTCACCAACAAAATGACTCAATTATTCAAACATTGACGAGGAAAATGCAACTTAAGGTAGAGCCTGGGAAACCTGATCCCCGGCTACTTGAGATGAAGTCGTCTTGTAGGAATCATGTTCTGTGCAAATACCTAGATATTTGTGCAAATATATATGCTATATATGGACGCTGAGTTCCGCAATTAACATAGATTTTAGACAAATTACGAAATGATTGAGGAAAAGCTGTGTATAGTGATTACCTATGGGCAATGTCACTGTGGGAGCAGAAACATGACGTGAACTGTTATGCCCACACGTGTCATTTAAACATTTAAATGGTATTTTTAAATAAAATGTTAATTCCTGTCCTACTTTCCAAAGAACATCGTTGTGAAGTTAAAATTGAGTGAAGTTTCTCTGCAATATTGTCTCAAGCGCTGTAAAACTCAGAGATTGTTATAATTCCCTTAGCATGAGTAATACCATATTTATGAAATCCTTTAAAACCCCCCCCAAAAACACCCAAATAAGGTTAGATAAATAAAAGGAGTATAATCAGATCATATGACCACTTCTGCCCACGCTGATCATTGAAGTGGAGCTAGCATAACAGATATGTAAGGAGACTTACTAACCCCACGTCATTATACAGCTCCTTGGGTTTCCTGAATATATTACTTCCAGCCAATGAAGCAATGACAGATTGTTGAACACTGCAGAAACTCTTGAACTGCTAATAGGAAATTCTCAATTCCTTTTTACTGCTTAATAAACTGCTTTAGTAAGACTTTCATTCCATGTTACATTTCACTCCTAAATTTATTCCCCAAAGAAGGGCTGTCCGGTAACTTCATTTTCAGGCTACATCTCAGATTCCTCAAAAATATGTGTAAATTTTATGAAAAAGTAATAAATAATTTCAAACATATGTACACACACACACACACACACACATGGACCCTGGTCCTTGCTGCAGTTCTGAAGAAATCAATATGCTTTAGTAATATGCTCTTGAAAATTGGTTTTATCGAAAGCATAAAATAAAACGTAAGAAATCAATACTGAAACAGATGGCATAGCTCAATGGCACAGTGCCTCTTGTCATGTGCATGTATAAATTTAGAGAATAACCAGTTATTCTGTTGGAATTCCTATTATTACTTAGACCTCACAGTAGTCTTTTAAATCACTTTATTTTTTAAACCTTTAATTTGGCAAGATAGAATATTAGAGAGACAGCTGAAAGTACCATAGCAATCATACCATAATTTTGAAATTGTCAAAAAAATAGATGTATATAATTTTACTCTTTTTAAGACAATTATAAGGACAAGAAGCAATTTTTATAATGCAATTTTCAGTTTGCATGACAATTACTATCAGGAGAACAGAACCTCAGATAGGAACTTCTCTGCGAGTTATCAAAACAATTTCATAAGTTCTACTTTAATTGGTCATTTTTCCTACCATTTATCTAATTTCTTAAAGAAGTTTTTCAACAAACCTGAAAGTTATACTCTATGCTTCTTTAATGACATCCTTAAAATTAAACTGAAAAGTCAAATCAGTGAAACATTTTCTAAAACAATAATTTTATCATTTTACTCATCTGGTATAAATACATATTTTATATACTTCGGCATCTTAGAGAACCAATGATTTTTAAAGTTTTCATAAGTTTATAATCAATAGGATTCCAGAGGAGAAACAAATCAATAAAGATTTCTAGTGCGTCAACCCCAGAAGTCTTTTTGAAATATAAAAGATCCTCATTTATTTGTATGGTTTAACTGTGAAATAGCAGAAAGTACCAGATGACCGACTAAAGGCTTTTCTCCCCCCAGATCTATGAGAAAGCCAAGAAATGACCAAAATAAGAAGTCTTCCCCTGGAATAGAAATTTACAAGTGTATTTGCATCCTAGAATTGCCTTTGGGAAAGCAGTGCTTTACTTGCTCAACGACTGGAAGTGAAAGACTGGAATTGTTAATCTCACTGCCAATTCAAGCACTCTGATATCTTATTAAATTGCTCTATAATGAATAAATAGTGTTTAAAAGATTGTCCAAATGTGCCCAGATAGCCATGAAGTCAGGAATAATTTAATATTGAGACAGATTATGACCAGCCTTCAGGGAACTCTATCAAGACTAGAAGAAAGAGATATTCATTGAAAGAGCCAGGGACCTGCTTGTGTGACAGAGAGCAGAATAACAAATGAGTCTTTTCCTGCTAATTTCCCTAATCACTGGGCAGGGGAGAGATGGACATCAGTCTAAAACCTTGATTATGTTAAAGTTTTTGGTTTCGCTTCACTCAGTTCTCTGGGTTTCCTTTTCCTTGGAGAGAAGAATTAGATGTATTCTAGGAAAGAGTCTTAATCACTCAAAGACTGAATCTGGAAAATCCATGAGATGTAAAAGGACATCATGGTTGGCCTTGTCCCTCTGCACTTTGTCAGTCATTAACTTTACATCTGATGGCGCAAGTTCACCCACTGTAAAATAAGAGACTACCTATCAGACAGTTTAAAGTAGATGATTCCTAAACCAAAATCAAGGGCAATCCAAGTGGACGAGAAGACTCATGGACTACCAATGGGCAGGTGCAATGAAGAAATTATTGGGGACACTCTGAGGATGCAGACCCCAGAGAGGCAGGGGAAATGTTACTATTTGACACTTAGTGGGAATTCCAATCAGTGCAGATGAAGATTAGTGGAGGAACGCCACAGAGGTCCTATTTCTCCTGTCTTGAGCCCTCAAAGTCAAGCAAACCTGAGAGGAGAACTCAAAGGAATTCTCAAAAAAGGGGGATAGTACTTTGTGCCCTAAGTGCAACGTGGTCAGGGTTGCCTGGGGATTTTTAAGCTTCCCCAAATATCTTTCTGTGTTTATTCTAGACAAACTAGTAGAACACAAAAACCTTTGGTGCCTCTCCCAGATGTCTCAAGAAGCTTAGGGGCAGAAATCAATTAATGAAAAGGTAGCTTTTTCCCTTAGGTTTTCTGTAATCAACGTAATAGTCATGGATTACTCTATAGATGGACTCATCCAATAGAAGCATGGCTAAAAATCTCTATCAGGAACCACTCCAGTCCTAGACAGGTTTTGTTGGCCATGTATAACTCCAGAAGGTAGCTGAGGAAAGCCAACACTGCAGGATGAACTCTTTAAGATGGGCTAAAAAAGCATATGGATGAAGCCAAGGTAGGCACATGAGAGACCACTTACTGTGGAAATATTGCAGGAAGTCTTGCACAAACCCTCTGGCGCCATGTCTCTTCTGAATGTAGTCCATTCTTATTATTCATGGTAATTATGTTCTATGAAGCCACTATAAACACTGAATTAGCAAATGCTGAACTATTGCTCCTAGGGGAAAGAGAGGGTTACATTCTTTGAGCCTCAGGTATATTTATCCAGAAATCCAGTGTCTTCAATTTCAATTCAGAGTCCTTGCAAGAAGGATTCACCCTATCATCAAGGTCTTGCTTATTTTCACTTCCTGAAATTTCAAATATTGTTGACAGACTTTGCCCAAAATCTAATGCTTATTTTTGTCATAAAACACAGCTTTTCAACACATTTTTGTCCTGCAAATGGAATCATGCTTAAATTCAAAGAACAACACTCTGCTATAAGTTTACACGCATCTTCCATCTATATCACAAACATCGTAAACAGCATAATTATCCTATGAGTCTGAGCCTCTCAAAGAAATATCTGGCACATTGATACTAGAAAAGAAAGGACAGCTATAAGTGCGTATAGGAGGAATGGCTCTGGGAACAAATAAAGGGGAAAAAAGCCTCCAGCCACCTCCCCCCTGCAATGTGGACCCTCGCAAGTGCTCATTTCTCTGCAGCCACACTTTACTACCATTATCTAAGAAATGCATTTTTTACTTAACAAAAGAGAAAGAAATATAATTGTTTAAAATAAGTACAATAATTGAAACCTAAAAGTATTGGAAAATAAACTAAAAGGTTAAGAACACAAACAAAAAATTTTGAAAGCTAGATATAAAATATGAAGAAAATCAAAGAAACCTAGATGATTCAGATGCCTTTAAAATAAGGAGGAAAAACTTCAAAAATGCTGAGAAATAAGTTAAGAGTATGAAAACAAGTCAAACATTTAAACTAAAGAAAGAAGTGGAAAGGTTTTGAAATTAAAAAAATAGCTAAACATGTATCGAAGAAATTAAGAATAAGAAATTTAAATATTAAAGGGCCATATGAAATAAGCGGATTTAGAAAAGCAATAAGATATAGAAAAAAAGACAAGTAGTCGTAGAACAATGCCTAAGTAATAGCAGATTTAATAAGGTAAGTACATCCAAAAAAAGTGAATATACAGCAGCAAAAACGAAAAAGTATTTCAAATTTCTTTTAAGTTGCAGACTAACTGAAGTAACCATTTAATGAAATGAAATAAAGAGATTATGGATAAAGAGCAGAAGAAGGCACACCCCGAAAGTGTGTCTATCGAATGTGTAGTCACAGAATTCATTGAGTTCGATCTCCTTCAGCATGAAATCCTTGCAGAGGTGAACCAGGAGCAGAGCACAATGCAAAGGCTTGATCATCCTCCCTCACCCGGGCACAGACTGGGGCCACTACACCTCTGGGAGCTCTTCCGAAAACTCCTGTGGACTAGACGAGCATAAATCACAAGAAAACCCCAGGCCAAGAAGCAGGCAAATACACAAGCCAACCCTACACAGTACAGAGGGTTCCAAACAGAATAATTCATGGAAACAAACCATGCTAGAAAACCAGCACAGTAACATTTTCACATAAAACTCTACTGAAGGGTTGAACTGTCAAGGTTATTATTCGAACTATAAAGAGTTTTCACACACAATCTTAGTTCTATTTTGTTGTGGGGTTTTTTTTTTTTTTTAGTTTGTATTAAGCAATATGATATGCTATTGAAGCAAGTATAAAAATAATTTGTTCCAGTAGCATTTATCAGGAGAATCCCAGATAGGACCAATTTTGACTAGATTAAATGACATAGCTACTCCATAGTACCCCAAATTCAGGGAACTTTGAAAGTCTTTATGTAAACGCACATATACACAGACACATACACCATCCCTAAGCCAAACTATCCTGGGAACCAGATAGTAAAGATTCCAGGCCAGAGTGTGGATGAAATAAAGCCAAAGGCTCAAGAAGCAGATTGCGAGTATAACAAGACAAGCAGTGTTTCTCTTTTTGTCCTCTCTATACACAGCTTAAATATTCCCACTGGTCATGAATCAAATACATACACTCAAAATTAAAGCATAATAATACATGACATATTACCCATTATCTATACTTATTTAAGATTTAATAATGTCTTTACTCATTATGACACATTGGCATCCTTAGCTGAAAAATAACTTCCTTTCTCAATGACTATATATTTGTTGTAATTACACAATGTAGGAAACTTAGCAAAGGCTAAAGCGATCACCATTTTCCTGATTGAGAGAACACACAGAAGAGCAAATTGCAGAGGAACAAGCATAGATCTACGGCCTTTAGCACATTCTAGAAGAGATATGCCATTTTAATTTTCTGGCCCTTTAGCAATTACTCTCAATTTTCTCCCGCTTATTGGCTTATTTCTTCAATTTTTCCCACTCAAAGGGAAGCTCTCCCTAGTCTGAAATTGTATTTTATCACTTTGCATTTGTCCTTTTTCTTATGTGGATTAGTACATAAAGCACAATGAGGTAGAACGCACGTGTGACTTGTAGCTAAAACCCAAACCTGGGGAATACCCCTGCCGTGGACCGTGAACACTGGCTGCTCATCCAACCCCAGGTGTCAGTTCCTCCACCTGTACCTGGGAATAATAATATAAATCTCACAGATTACTTCACAAAGACAATGTACGTGAAATCCACACGTTTTTATATTTTAAATATTATATTATTGAATGGGAGGAAGTCTATACCAACATTTTATTGAACGTGCTGTACAACATGGTGGCCTCATTTTCTATTTTATTATTTTATAATCAAAAGATAAACATACAGCGACAATTATAAAGAGGCAACTTATAACTTTATTGAAGTGGATGTAGAACATGCGATTATGATTTTAGCGGTTGGTGCTTTGCCAGATGGTTCAGCAGGCTGAGAAGAAAACCCACAGAGGGGGAAAAAGGTGGGATGTGCCAGTTCTGTTTTTAAACAAGCTGCTTGCTTCATTTGTCCTTGATGCTATATCTTTTTTCACTTAAAAATAAAGTATTGGAATCAAGTCAATGCTGTTATAACTAGCTGATAATTCTCTGTCTTCATATTTTTCAAAGCTTCATCCAGGAGTCTTTCAAAAAATACCCTTGATTTTCCATTAAAATTCAATTTGTTGATTTATGTATTTCAAAATGGGACTTCAGAGATCATTTTAAGAAATCAAAAGCTCTATTTTTTGAGACATGGTTCTTTGAAAAGCTTGATCTATTGGGTACACACTGGTTTTCAAATTTGGTTACTGTTTCCTTTAAAAAATATAAATTCCCTAAGATAAAAAAGTATTCCTGCATGGGTTCACTTTGAAGACAGATCTTTTCGATATTATATTCTTAAAATGGCAAATTCATCTTTTAGCTGATCTAAAGAATTCAAAGGAAGTTAACATATGCTTTTTTCAAGATCATAAATGTTTCTTTTTTCACACAAGGATCAGAAGAAAATCTTGATTGCCAAAAATACTTTTAAAATTCTACTATATATGTATAGATTGTGGGAAAAGAAAAGGTCAAAGTCATGAAATTTTTGACAAGATAAAACAGATGAAAGAACACACTTTAGATTCATGGTGGTTGTGGCCACCACATAAACGTTAAGTGCCCAAATTAAATGTCATCGGACTCTTGGGTCACCGTTTACTTTAGAGAGTTTCATTTCTTTTGTAGGATTCATAAAAGAAAGTCAGTGCCTCAAAAGGTGCCTCGGTCTGAATGATTCTTCAGAGGAAAACACCTAAGAGAAGGATTACATTTTCAAGAAAGATAACCAAATCTATAAAGATAAGGCAGAACCATCAGATGGATCTGTAAAAGTAGATTTCTAGGCTCCAAAAGGTATATTCTTTTCCAGGACTTATTGTAATAAGAAAAAAAAAAATGGGATCCCCTAGATGTGAACGTGTTTGGTCCTGATTCAAAGAAAGTCTAAAAATCATGTGTAAGGCAATTAGGGAAAATCTGAACTCTGACGAACTGTTTCATGACATTAAGGAGTAATTGCTAATTTTGGGCAAGATAGTAGCATAGTAGTTTGTTTTATAAAAAAAGAAGAACTTTCCTTTTAAAGAGATAAAGTATGTATGAAAGAAATGCTATGATGTCTGAGATCTCCCTCAAAATAATCCCCTGATGGAGGAAAGTGTTCAAGGATTTAGATGAAACAAGATTGGCGATATATTGACAATGTTGAAGCTGAGTGATGGGACTTAAGGGTTCATCATAATATTATCTCTAATTTTATAAATGTTTGGAAGTTTTACTAATAATTTTTTTATAAATATTAAGATTTCTCTAACATTTTCCCCTGTGCTAAATATTACATTTCAATTTGAAACACCTGAAATGTATTTCTTGACTTCAATCCTTTAAATTTTACACTGAGATAATTATTAAATAAATCATCCTTCATATCGCAGCCTACCATTCCTAGTGGGTAAATTGCAAAACAGCATTCACATTGCTTTCACCCTTAAAATTTAGCACGACACTTCCCCATCACCTACTGCACAATATACTTGCAAGTATAAGATACACTATGTGCTTCATATATCATAACTTGTAAACAATTTGTGAGTTAAACATATTTGTATATAAATACAGATATATTCTATGATCTGTAAAAATATATGAAGATATTCTTATCTAAAGAAACGCAAGGAGACAAATGCCCTGGGACGCAATTCCATCCAAAGCCCATTAACCATAAACTCTCTCTCTCCTGAACTCCACTTCACCTTTTCATTTCATCATCCATTAGGGTGAAGCTTTTAAAAGAGACAATAGGATTACAAAGAGCTTTCTGCTAGGTCTTATTTTATTTTCTGATTCAACTTTGATGTTCACTTTGACACTTGACTCCATTTTTTTTCCACGAACACTGAAGAAAAAGCACAGAAACAAGACTGGGTAGCTGATCCTTTCTTTGAGTTGACTCTTGTGAGGATGTGAAAAGGTCAAGAGAGGGTTTGGTCAGTGGGGAATTTGATGGAAACCGTAGCATGGAGGATAAAGCGGGCTGGAGTCATGTGGATAGGCGAGTTGTTTTGGTCGTTTTCAGGCTGTCTTAACTCCCTTTTCCTAAGACTCAAGTTCTCATTTGCATCCAGTCATCCTGCTGCTGATTCTGTGTTTCTGTTTTCCTTCTTAACCATTTTTTTCTTATTTAGGAGTAACTATATTCAAAATTAAAGCTTGATGTTAAGCAATAAAGAAAATAAAAGGTGTTGATAAGAATCAGAGGAGTAACTAAGATTTAATATAATCTATGTAGCACCCATCTACATAGGAACTTTGAAATAGAAACACCATCAAATCATTTCAAAATGTGCAACTTTTTCCCTATTTTTCTTTAATTTACGTAAGGGTCCTCTATTTCATATGCTTGAATGCTGCCAATAGAAAAAAATCCTAGTAAGCAGCATTGCACATTGAGATTTTAAATAAAAACCAAAAAAAGGAATCAGTCTTAAGTTTGAACTGAAAATGTGAGTATTCCATTGCCATTTTTTATAATTGTATGCTATAGCTATAGTTCCTGGTTTCAAACAGATTAATTCATTACGCAATGCTCACGTTTATGAATGGGAGAAGGAAACTCATCAATCATTTAGCTCATCACCTGCTCCATTTTGCATGCAATGTAGCCTACAAAAATTTATGTGTTATTTTCATTTCTCCCCATGTTGCAAGCAACTGCAGGAAACAGACTGTTGGGATTCATCATGTAATCAATATCTTGTACATAAAAACCTCAGCATCTCTCTATGCAGCCACAGAACATTTAATCACTGTCACCAGCCCTGCGTAATTCTAGAGTGTTCAGTGTACTCCTCAATAAATATTTTATGCTTCTCTTTAGAGGCTTATTTCTATTACTTCTAAAATACCTGAGAAGCAGTCTTTTTATTGCTCTTTCCTTTTGTAAACCCTGGTAGTAGCCATTAGTACAGCATTTATCTTCTTCCTTACGATGAATTTGACTTTGTGATTCTTGGTTTAACATATAAATATAGAAAATTTTTATTTTGCCCTGATACCTGTTTCCAAAGTGCTCCAATAGTGGTTTTGTCTTGTGAAAATTGTTTGAATAGTGTTTAAATTCTTAAGAGCTCCTCAGAGGAGTTCCCAGAATGGCTCTGTTGTTTAAGAGTGTCTCGTCACTTTCATTTTTAAAGGTACAGTAATGAAGATGGAAAGAATGAATCTGGTCCTTTCACAGATGTTTTCCTAAATGCCTATCAGACTCAAGCAAATACATAAACCCAAAACCACACAAAGTAAAAGTAACATTAACCCTAACTGGCCCTTTGGTTTCAAATTGTGCAATAGTAACATAAACAAACAGTTCTTTCACTGAGAAATCTACTTCCTCAGACCAGGACTCTCTGAGTGGGTTCAGCATGCGACTAACAGTTGCTGCTGCAGTGCAAAGCAATCTCCAGATAAGTATGATTCATTTTGAATTTTTATTTATAACAGGAAAAAAACCAAAATATTTCGACTTTATCTCTTGAATTAAAAAAAAAATCCACATAATTATTTTACCTGACAATTATTTGAAGGCAGACAAACTAAACTAACTGATGTCCCTCAATGCTGTTCCTCTTTTTATGAGCCCAATTGCCCTACACTAAATAGCTGGAGAAAATACAAAGCACCTGATTCATTAAGCTGGAAACATATTGTCTGTACAGCAGGATAGGATGGTAATTTACTATACACAGCCAGGAAAGACACACTTTACAACACAGATTTGCAGCTTTTAACCTGGAAACTTAATAGCAAAGGCAATTCTGCTTTACTTTGTTTCCCTTCAAATCCGAAAGAAAGCAATACCTACTTTGTTACAAAACAGAGCAGGCAATATTTTATATTGCCATAGTCAATTATGTGAGGCTGTGTAACCTTTTCCAGCTATTATAGTCTTCAAATCTTTCTGTGCTAATGTTGCCAACACAATACAGAAGAAGCTTCAAAGCATCTTTGCAGCGTTAGAAAGAGAAGACAGCTGGCGCTGCTCAGAGACTAGGCTGAGATGACCAGATTTCTAATTTATAAAACTGGGACAGCACACGTCAGGGGAATATCATTGGGGGTTTTGTGAAGGTATATCTCCAGCTATTTCCTTTTGTCAGATAAAGACTTGTTTACTGAAAAAAGAAAAAGAAAAAACTCTAAAAGGTTTTGTTGAGAGACGCAGGCAAAAATAAAAACAAAACAAACCCTTCAATTAAAAAGAATGCTAAGAGAATGCTACAAGGTTAAATATCCAAGTTCAAAATAATGCTGTGCTCCACTGTACAGACTTGAGAGAATCCTACCAACCAGGTAGATCGAGAAACCTATGAATTCATCAGTCCCACCTTCAAAACCCATTAGACCTTGGATATAGCAAAACATTCACTACAAGAAGGAAGTGGTACAACTGTGAAAACCACGGACTTCCAATTGTTAGTAGCTACCGATAATCTCCTGGGTTATTTTGATGATGAGGCTCCATCTGACGCCTCTTGTGAACTATGACCTAACTCCTGATAACCCCAGACCATCAACCTCTGAAAGGGAGGAGATGGGATAACAGGCTGAAACACGCAAACTGCAGGCCTCAGCCTGGGGATGAGGGTGGGAGTCCACTATGAGCAATTAAGACAACATATTCAGTTTACTAAATAGAACAATTCACACTATTTTCTAGATTGTCTCAACTTTTCATTTGTTTTGTATACAGCTGCTTTCAAACACGGTCTCATCTAATATCTTCTTTGATTTTTACAACTCAGGAGAATGTTGAGTAAAAGCTAGTTTGCCCATTTCAAAGAAGAGGAAATTTGGACTCAGAGAAGTTGCATGGCTTGTCTCAGGTCACACAGCTAAAAGGAGAGGAATTGAACCCAGAATTCTGCCCTTCTAACACTTAGATGGATACACTTTCTTCTAACTTCTTACAAAAGGATTTTCAGAACAACAAATATTAGGCTTACCAATCTACAATTCCATAGGGCATCATATTTCACATTTTCCCAAGAGAAAGGCTGCTAAGGTGTATATGCATTAGATAGAATGGAGCTTTCCATAGAATGATCTTGAGCTGTTTAAAACATATTGCTTTGTTCTTACAGACACATTACTTACAACTTGTACAATAATTTCCTAGATCTTTAGAAAGAGGGAAATGTGAAATACCCATCATGAATCATGTAAAAGCTCTGTTTTAAATGGAAACGCCCAATGCAGTTGTGTTTAAACTCTGCAATATATTAACACTCAGAAGGCTAACTGAGGAAATAATTCTCCAACATAAGCTAGATTCACAATGGGAGACCAAAACTCACAAGCTTTCATTTAGCTCTCAATACTAAGGTTTTCATAAGACTTAATGACATAGCCAAGAAGAAATCATGGCCTGAGAGGAAGCAATTTTCATTATGCAGTCATGGCGGCATGCTCCTGAAGAGGCTTCTTACACTTTCATTTTTGTTTTTGCACACAGGTTGAGCTAACTCATCAAAGCTTCTCTGATGGATGGTTCTTTTGACAATGCTTCTGTTATTCTGTGAATGTCAAACAACAGAAATATATATGTAACACTGAAATTGGCTGTGGTCCTACCTACAAATTGCCAACAACATCTGCAAACAAAGATAGCTCTAAACTTGATAACAAGTAAATCTTTTAAAGAATTGTCTTTGTTCTTCTTTCTTACTTTTTTTTTTTTTTTGGTGAGAAAGACTGGCCCTGAGCTAACATCTGTCATGAATCCTCCTCTTTTTGCTTGAAGAAGATTGTCGCTGAGCTAACATCTATGCCAATCTTCTTCTACTTTATGTGGGATGCCACTACAGCATGGCTTGATGAGCAGTGCTAGGTCCATGCCCAGGACCCAAACTTGTGAACCCCAGGCCACCAAAGGAGAGCATGCAAACTTAACCACTATGCCACTGGGCTGGTCCCTCTTTCTTACATTTTTGTGACCTTAAATGAAATGATATATTTTCAAGTAAATACTGAACCCAAACACAGAATACTAGATTTGCTACATCCTTGACTGTGAGAATAACGGCTACCAAGCCCCATTATAAATATGAAAATCATCACATTATTTAAGCCAACTTGTTAAAATAAAGTTTATCTATCCAGCTATAGAATCTGATGATCTGGACTAGTTCTGCTTATCTGCTTTGTCAAATACCATCTTAACTCTTTGCTGTTCCATGGACATCCCCTTGAATTTGAGTTCTTAAATCCATGTGGACGTATTTTTCAAGACTCATGGTATTTGTCAGTTTAAACTGGAATTTGCTGATACAAATGTATGAGAGCATCCAAAAATTCAACACTACTGCAACAGGTGTGAGAATGTCAGGCTATAAACTAGGTTGTGAACATTTTTATTTACTTCAAAATTGAACTTGGATGCTTCCTTGAATCCTCATGGTAATGAACTGATTTTAAGAGAATTAGCTAAGATGACATCATCAGAGAGAACCATCAGATATTTGATCCCCTGCTCTTCCGATATCCACAATTTTATCACATCTCACCAGACATCTTATATCCACATCTTATCAGTCTTTTCTTCATCTAAACACTCCACATATTTCCAAGCAGAAACGACGACTACCTCAGCATCTATACCAGCCATTTTTAACCCTCCTACACCTGATCATAGGAGACTACGGAATTTTTCTCCATCCCTCTTTGCCTAAAAATAAAATACCTCAATTTCCATTTTTCTGCTGAAGCACAATGCTGAAGTGATAAAGGAAAAAATTTTGAGCCATACTTACATTTCTAGCAGCAACAAACACAATTCTGAGGTGGAGCCAGAGACCCCCAAAACAGGGTATATTATTACAGGTAGAGCCAGATATATATAAAGGCATCTAGCTACGCTGACCTCCACTGAAACTCTCTCTCCCTCTCCCAGGTCAGAGATATTTAAAGCCCTCTTGTGCAGAACTGAGGAACACAGTTGTTGCTTGTCATGTTTGCAAATTCAAGTATGCTTTCTCAACTTAAGGTGAGGGGGTCTAAAAATTCTTCCATTTGCCCTATAATGCCTTTACCATCCCTCCCCCTTCAAACTAAAGCTTGATCTCCACTATCCTAGTGAAACAGATACCAAAGCCAGAAGGCAGAGAGAAAAGACCAGATTCATACCTGAATTTTGAGCTTTCTGATGCTCAGTCCCTGGAATTTAAGGATTTTCAAGTATAATCTTTATTATACATCCTTTTTCTCTTAATGTATAACATTGAGTAGATTGCAATTGTATTTTATTCTCCAAACCCTACCTCCCTCTTGGGTCTCAAGAAGTATTTTCTCTCAAGGCTATTACGTCCAGTAGAGATTTTTAAAAGTCTATTTTGAAACTCAAAAGCTGAGATTTCTTTCTCTTTACATTTCTGAGCTACCATTATTTCAGTTGGCAGTAAATATAGAAAGAATTCATGGCTGCCTGGATGAAGAAAGAAAAAAAGAGGTAGGAAATATTTATTTTTTTAATTTGTTAAGGGTTGATAATATTATGCCTGCACATCAGCACACATCCTGACTTAAAATGTTCTTTGTGGAACAAGCAGTCTATGAAACCGGAAGGTCATATTTCACTAAGGAAGCTTAACAGATGTGATTATATATCTTTTTTTTCCAAACACATAATTCATTTGATGCCCACTGTCTAACAGGAGGGCCTCACCATCCTCATGAGATCCATCCCCTCCCCTCTTACAAACTGCCTGAGATCCAGTCCAATAAGGTCTCAGTCCTATGTCCAAATGCCATAAATAGATCTGGTACTTAATGAGTTGAATGCTGCTACTGTTTCTTTTTGCCACACTGAGTGGCTGCCAGGAGTGATCCTATACCAACTGCTGCATGGTGATTGTCTACGGATGCAGAGATGCCCTTTCTGGTCCATGTCCCAGGACAAGCCACAGTGGTGGGCCCATGTTGGATGCTGAAACCACAGCTTGTTTCATTTCACACTCTCATGCTCAGCTAGCTCTCCTCATAGCAGAATCACTGTGCTAATGTGAATGAACTGACAAAACTTTCCAGCATCAGTCGCGTTGGAACCATTTCACTCCTTGAACTCTTAGGTCCATGCCTTGAGTTTGAGTCACTAGCCTAGACTCATACTTTCTCAAGGAAGTTATATCACAAGAGATTTCATTCCTTTCCCTGCCACTGGACCTCAGCCAACACTACCATCATCCACACTGATAGATCTCCAGTGGATCTTGGGAAGAATTTTGGTACCTCATCTCCCTAAAGACTGTGGGGTTCCTAATGTAAATTGACCCACTTCTCCCAGTGACCAGCTTCACACATTAGACATCTCAGCAAATAGCAGTCCAAGACGTCACAAGAAACATTGGTTGTACCAAATCCCAGAAAAATGGCTGTTAACCTGCCAACTTTTGCATAACCTAGAGAAGTGCCTAGGTAATTTAGCCAAATGTAAAAGTACTTCTTTTTCCCACTACATAATCACAGAATGAAGGAAGTTAAGAGTTTGGACATGTTACAGGGTTGAAAAATAAGGGTCATTGGAAAAGATCTATGAGCCTACTACATGCACATGTACAGTCACGGAAATAGCCACTCATTAACCTTCCCAGAGAGAAGAATAACTTAGGCCAACCGAGTAATTAAGAATTCTGATTTTGGTTATTTTGCTATCAGGAAACCCTCTATTTCTAAAAGGAAGTCTAGTCTCACACCCTGGAGCCCCAGAACGTCTTCGTATTTTGTTCAGACACAGCTGTTTGTGATGCCTTTCCATTTAGAAGTAGCCACGTGCACACATGCATTGAAGCCCCTTGTTCTTCTCCTTCACGAAAACCCAAATGCATGGCGCTATCAGCTGGGCTGGAACATAAGCCAGGACCATGAGGAAACCATTTTTCTAGGTAGTACTTTTCTAACTAGAGGGATTTAGAGTTTCCAGGACAAGTAACACACTAAACACTTACTTCATGTGGCAATGAAATATCTGAAGCTCTTTGAAAAGAGGACGAGGCTTTTGCTCCATCTGCACCCTTTCCATAGTGTTCCTCCTTCCCTGGGTTAGAGCTAATCCCAAGGAGAACCAGTTCAGCAAGGTGCCAAAGAACGATTTCATGGTGGGTGTGCATTAAAGCTTGAGGTGACATCCTAAAGGAATAAGGCAAGACAAGGTCACAAAAGAAAACACTTTAACCCTATACTTCTAGGAAGAGGATAAGTTGTTTAAAGAAACTGTGTATTGTTTACAGGTTGACCACTGTTAGCAATCCCATTTTGCCTCACCTTCTACCTGATAAGCATCCACATAAATGTGCTCCCTGGCTTCCTATTACCAGTCACTGTGTGTATCAGGGACACATCGGTTATAAAGAAATAGCTTGCATGCAGTCACCTTCTGACCTCTATTATACATAATGCCACTTAGCCACAAACATAACTTTTGTGAAAAAACTGAAGGTCTGTACAGAGCATATAATAGGAAGAGAAAAACAATAGACAAAAATAGCTGCCAAACCCTATAGCCTTGGAGAAAAATATTGTTTGGCCTCTTAGAATTTCCAGAGCATTCATCTCCCAGGAACTATTCACGCAGTAGGCACTGTCTGCCTCCTGCCTCCCCACTCCAACTCTCCTCTCTCGGCCCGTACTTCTCTGAAAGTTTTGCCTCCAGTATCTTGCCACAGGCTGAGAAACAAGAGGTATAATCTGTATTAGTGTCACAATTTCAGTAATCTAAGAGCAATCTTTACATTTTAAATATTAAATATGCTAAATGGTCTCTGAGAAGGGGGAGAGAGTGAATTGCTTTATACTTTTTATTTTTTAAAAAGATCTGCAAACGCAATCACTCAATTATACACACGCTTCGGCCACAAACTTAGAACACTGAAATCGCCCTTCATCTCTCATGCACCAGACGTGCTTCCCCCCAGAAGAGTCTTTTTTGACACGTACACACAGGAAACTTCTGGGCTCTTCTATTATCTTGGGGAGCTGTGTGGTTTTTCAGATCACCCTATACCTGCCTTCACAGCAGTCACATAAATAAACAACACCCAGCCTCACTGGAAAATGATGGAAGCTTTGTCAGCAGAACTTCATGAAGAAAACCCTCTCTTGTTGAGAAAATAAATCATGATTAAAAAGTAGAGGCAGAGTCTGTGAAGAAACTTTCTCAGTTGGAGTCCTACATTTGTGCGGAGGTCTGAGCAGCTCCGCCACTGCGGGATCGCCCTCAGACCACTTTGCTACGCCCCCTCACCAAGCGCTCACCCTGGCCTCCATTTCTCTCTCTCACAAAGTCAATATTCTTGGTTCATAAAAACCCAAGTTGAAATGAAGTTTTAGTAGAAGAAAAAGTATGACCAATTTAAGTCTAACAAGGGAGTCTTTTAAGAAGAAATAAACTATAAGATCTGCTGAAGAAATTATTATGATAGGTAGCACAAATGCATTTTGGATAAGTTACACAAACCTCTTTCAGGAGTGCTCTAAAATCTGGATGACACCATTGACAAGATGCCTGGCTTTCCTGATATCTTGGAAATTGCGTATAATCTTACTGTATAGTAGTTGGGGAAGACCACAAGTAAATCATCACAATAGAACTTAATTTTAATGTAGGATATTGAGCCATAATTCTTGCTTTCTGAGATTAGAAAACAAACCAGACTGACACCTACCCTGTCCCCACTGGCACTGTGGCTCCAATACTAAGAGGACATCCAAAGTGGCATGGACACCTGTGCTCTGGCCCTGCTTCCCTCTTCCTGCAGACTTCTGGCCCTGTTGATGGGCAGCTCCAGCATCAGCGAGCAGTCAGCGCAGTTGAGTGCGGTGTTCTGATCACAGTGCTTGAGATAGCTGAGTGTCTGCGTGAATAAGAACCACCACAAGCAGAGCCCGGAATCCCTGTGTTTATAGTGCTCTTCTGCTGCAACTAAAAATGCGTGGCCAATGACCCTACAAAGAGAATAAAATCAGATGTCTTTTCCTTATAATTGGGAGAGATTACACATCTGAGAACTCAGTCTCTAGCCCAAAACCCGACACATAGAAAGGTTAGAGGATAAACAATTTAACAAATGAACATGCAGAAGCTGACTAACCAGTGACCTAGAGAAAAGCATCAACCTGAGCAATGTTGGCTGTTGAAGAAGTTTTGGTTATAACCACATAAGGAAAGGCTCACAGTTACCAGAGACGATGCACTAACGCTTTGTGATAAAGACGCCGTCATGTCTGGTAAAGAGGCTTCTCCCATTTAGAACAGGAAAATGCACACTATCAGTTATTTTACTAATTAATTTTCTTTATTCTCTGAGCTTTTCTCTCCCAATTAAAAAGGCATTGTCTATATTGTAATTACTAAAAAACAAACACATCACACTACTCCTCTTGGGTTAAGCAATCTGCAAAATTAAATTTCAGAATATAAATTAGATAATTGGGAACATGATATCTCATTTTATATATTTATATTTACATGCATAATTATACGTATGTATAATATATTATACATATGCATATATAACAGTATTACAAATTTTTAGGCATTTAAAAATGTTTTACTTTCATATTAAGTAAACTAAAAAGCTTCCACTATCAATATGAAGAAGGAAACATAAGCATATCCAGTTTCTGTACCTCTGATATGTATGTAGTCATTTAGATGATCCCAGCATACGATTTACGTAATTAGATTATTTGGGTCCTTCCACTGTATGCTGCTCTGCAGAAAAGAATGAGGTTCCCTGAAGAGGCGACTGCTTATAAGGTAGCTGTTATGGACTGAATTGTGTCCCCACAAAAGTCACATGTTGAAGGTCTAACCCCCAATGTGACTGCATTTGGAAATGGGGCCTTTAAGGAGGTGATTAAGGTTAAATGAGGTCATGGTGGCAGGGCAGGGGGGGCCTGATCTGATAAGACTGGTGTCCTTATAAGAAGAGGAAGAGACACCAGAGACCTCTCTCCCTGTGAGCATGCACAGGGGAAAGGGCAGGGGAGGACACAGCGAGAAGGCAGCTGTCTGTGAGCCAAGATGAGAGCTCTTACTGGAAACCAACCCTGCCAGACCTTGATTTTGGACTTCCAGCCTCCAGAACTATGAGAAAATAAACGCCTGTTGTTTAAACCACCCAGCCTGTGGTATTCTGTAATGGCAGCCTGAGCAGACTAATACAGCAGTCAATGCATGCCCTGAAGCTGAGACAGAACAAAATTGTTTTGTTGCACATTCCTGTAAAAAGAATGATGATGCTCCATGTTGCACAAGGAATGAGATCTTAGGGGCATTGTTTCCATTTACAGCAGGAACACATTAAAAATAACACAGGAGCAAGACATGGCCTCATATTCTATACTTGGCTATTTTGTTTACGTAAGGAGAGAAAGAGAATAGACGTAGGTTGAATTATCTAGATTGCTTTGACTTTAATACTTGCTGATAAAGCAGAAAATCACACAATGAAGGTGAAAATTCACAGATGTGTAAAGCTGAGGACAGAATATGAGACATTTTACACATGAAATCCATTTTAGGAAGAGACAAGAATATTGAAAGAATTCAAAAAGTCTCATTTAACCTAAATCTAAAGTTTCTCTTATTAATTACTTATTTACTTTTTCAGAGATAAACAAGGAAAGTTTTCATGGGCTTGAGAAGGAATGTTTGCCATTTCTGTTGTTTTTACTGTTGAAAGTACAAGAAATAGCAGGAAATGGAACTCAACAGCACATCACAAGTTAAGACATTGATAATTACATTGAAGCTGAGAAAAACTCATCATCCCAATGCAGGTGACTATACTCTTTCTTTCCCTAGAGAATACCCCCTGGCTCAGACATACTATGTAGACCATACACTCAGCAGCCATCCTTTCAGTTTGTCATCAGGCTTTGTTGGGTATGCATAGTATTTTTTATGCTTATAGTTTGTTTTAGTCTTATTTAGTGTTTAAACAATTGTGTGATTTCACAAAATCTAGATTTCTGTCTTGTGGTGAAAAAATCTAAAGATCTGGCAACTATTACTGGATCCCAGCAGTAAGTGCCCGTTTATTCTGACATGATTCCCCAAGTCCCCACAGACTCAGCCAGGACCCCTTCACTCCTTTTCTTACCTTTGTGGCTCTTTCAGACATTTCGTGTGTTGCCATGACTTTAATATTGGGAGGTGATTTTAAGAAAACAAGTATACTATTCTTCTCTCCCCACCAATACTTCTCATTCTATTAACTGGTCTAATTGGAGACTGCAAACTCCGGATGACAATTGGAGTAGAGAGAAAGAAGAACTGACAATTGTAAATTTGATCCTGGAAAACACAGTTCATACAGGTAAAGTAAAGCAGAAGTGGTAAAGACAGAAACATATGTGGCAATTCAAATTTTTATTTTAAATTTTTACATGCTCAGTAAATATGGTCAGTGTCAGAATAGGAAATGGGGTGAGAAGAACATAAGGCCTTATTTATCAAAATTATACTAGTTAAAAACTGAGTAGATCCCAGGGTTTGAGCTAGGAAATGCACATCTCAGCCTGCCATCTGGTTCTGGGTTTGAGAAGCAGACTCAGTGGCACCAAAGCCGATACTGAGTGAGGCCAGAGCCCCGACGGGCAAGTCTGCATAGACCAGAGATCTCTCCTAATGTGAGAATGAGTACAAGAAAAGGTGGGCAGCTTGGGGAGTCTACACTAGTAGGGTCACATACACACAAAAATACAGAACCCTGGGCCCGGCCCAGTGACATAGCGCTTAAGTTCATGCGTTCTGCTTCAGCACCCTGTGGTTTATGGGTTCAGATTCCAGGCATGGACCTACATAGTGCTCATCAAGCCATGCTGTGGCAGCATCCCACACACAAAATACAGGAAGATTGGCACAGATGTTAGCTTAGGAACAATCTTTCTCAAGTGAAAAGAAGAAGATTGGCAACATATGTTAGCTCAGGGCCAATCTTCCTCACCAGAACCGTAGAAATGGAACATTATCCCAAAGATTCTGACCACAGCCCTAAAAATAACTTAGAACAAAAAGAGAAAAAAATGTCTATAAATTGTTAGCATTTGAGACAAGGACTCAATATGAAGTACACTCACATTATTGTACAATCATCACACCATCCATCTCCAGAACTTTTTCATCTTCCCCAACTGAAACTCTGCACCCATAAAACAGTAACTCCCCATTCTCTCCGTGCCTCTCCCCAGCTACTCCCTTCTCTCTTCTGTCTCTATGAATTTGACTACTCTAAGAACCTCATATAAGTAGAATCATACAATATGATTCTTTTGTAACTGGCTAATTTATTTAGCATTTTAAAATGGTTATTTTATGTATATTTCAGCACAATAAAAAAAGAAGAAAAGACTGAAGCAATCACTTTCTTTATGAAATAGGAGTAGAAAGTCACAAGGGGGAAATAAGCAAGAGGCTATATTGAAAAAAGCCAAGAGGACAGAAGATGAGTAGAATAAGAGAAAATTACAGATAAATTTTTAAATGGAAAAGAACATTAACATTGACTTTGGAGATAGTATACAGCTAAAGTGCTGCCACAGAAAACTGAATCTGGAATGTGAATGACAAATAGGAGGGAAGTGTAAGGAGATCTTTGTGATGCAGAGAAGAGAATAAACAAATACACAGTGAGAGGGTGACGGATACATAAAAGAGCCTTCCCAAGAACTATTCAGAAAGGGACACACTCCAGGCAAAGTCAATACAAACAAAACAGAAAGACCATAGTGATTTTAATGGCAAGGATTTTTTTTTTTAATCCACAGCATAAGGGAAAAAAAGAGATTACCTAAAGAAGAAAAGAGTTTTTCTTTATATATTTCTTTCTTAATACCATAAGACAAAATAGGGGAACAACATGTATATTTAAGGAATTTTAAAAATTATGATCTACAGACTATTCCTTTTGCAAAATACTAAAAAACAACCTTTAACCAACCAAGAAATGAATCAAAACTATGAACCAAAGAACAGGAAAATCAAAGTTAAAAATAAAAGAGGGGGGATGAGAGATCTTGTCAAGATGGCAGCACAGGCCGACTCTGAACTCATCTCCTCCCATGAACACAACCAAGTTACAACTATTCTTGGATAAATTACCCAAGAGAGTGAACTGAAAACTGGATAAAAAGAACCCTCACAACAAGGGACAGTACTGACTGAGATGGAAGAGGCAGAAATTCCTTCTGGAGAGAAAAAGAGTCACCTTCATGAGCTGCAGAGCTTCACAGCCGGCCAGGAGAAACCCAAAGGTACACAGCCTTCCCTGAAGGAGTGTGGGACCTGAGTGGAAGCACGTTACCACTATAAGCATCCTTCAGACTCAGCTCAACTGAGACAAGTTTCATAATATCTGGCTTTGCTGGCTATTAACTATAATGGTAAAATCCCTAGAAAGCTATCGGACATAACCAGAAAAACTGAGCTCAAAAAGGGCCCATGCACAAATTCACCAATCTTGGAAAGCAACCTAAAATCACCAGAAAGAAAGGTACACAGTCCTTTGGTGAAGAGACTCACCTGATAGGCTCTGGGTGCATCTGCATGAGAGGCAAGACCTCTCTGGGGACTGGGACATTGGCAGCAGCCATTGTTGTGACCTAGTAAAGGTGTGTTGACACAGACACTGGCAGGCATCAGTGGAGTTCTTCCCCTGGTCTGTTCCCTAGCCCAGTCTGTCACAACCACTGCTACACCAATTTAATCCAGCTGGTCCAGGGCAGACAGCCCACCCTAGGGACTGGTCCCAAATAAACAATCTAACAGTGCACCTAAAAGAGATGGAAAAAGAAGCACAAGCAAAGCCCAAAATCAGCAGAAGGAATAAAATAATAAAAATCAGAGAAGAAATAAATGAAATAGAGACTAAAAATAAAATATAAAAACATCAATGAAACCAAGAGATGGTTCTTTGAAAAGATAAAACAAAACTGACAAA